TGATTCAAGGTATGGCAAGCTATGATGAGGTTTTCCAGGATCGGAGCGTAAATATCACCCTCATCATAGTTTTTTTAGGAAAAAGGAAGGAATCCAGAAACTTTTCCTTGTTTGAGTTGTTTTTAATCTGTGTACCACTGAGTACCAGGGGGCGTGTAGCCATCAATCAAAACGTGGCTATATAAAGTTGATGAGAGCATGTGGGAGATTGTCGGAGCAAGCAACTTGATCGGCAACACCACCTTGGAACAGGTTAGGAAGAGAATGGCCATGGAGGATGTTCCTGACGTTAGCGTAAGCGTTATTTTCTATCTTCAAAGTTGATTTATTGTTGTCGAAGTTTGTGATTTCTTCGCGCCAACGACGTTTTGTCGTGAAGTTTGTGTGTTTGTGTGTGAGTCTTTTTGACTGGACACAACCTACATGTACGAGGTGTGTTGTGAATCAGGTGTGTGTGAATTGAAATCCGCCCGTAGGCTTGTTCAATTCTTTCTTGTCGCCACCTTTGAAGAGTATTTTGAAAACAACAACAATTTCATTGGATGGTGTTTGTGAGGGGCAGTTATGGTGTAGTATGAGTTCCGTGTCACTTCAGACTTGGATCATGTAACCTATAATATTATAAGTTCAAGTTTGATGAGTTGTAAGTTTATTTTACCTGACCTAGGTTTTTATGATTTTAAACAGTTGTTAATATCCTAATTTCTTTACTACTAAAATCGATGGCCACTTGTTCGTTATCCCTTATTTATCAGTAAGCTGTGTATTAGTTGATGTGCGTTCTTGGTGGGTGGAGCTAGGAGGCCAGAAGATGAGGATCGGTTAAAGGTTCTGCAGAATTTATAGGATGAGGAACTTTTACAACAGATGATAGACCATGCTGATAACTCGGAGCTGGAGTACTGAGATTAGGTGCTGCTGGGTCCTGGTGGCAAGAGGTGGAAAGACAATTGCCTGAAAGAGAATAATCATGAGATCCAGATGGGCCCGATGATGATAATGAAGATGCAAGGACTTGCAAAAAATCGGGGAATATAAACATTATGCAGCTATTCTTTAACATCTTATTAAGAATAAAAGTAAGACATAATACTATAACATGCAATTTTCAAAGTATAAAGTCAACCTTAAGCAAACTTGGAAACTTATTGGTACTCTTGTTAAAAGGAAAACCAAAGGTCAAACTTTCCCCAAGAGAATCACTCACAATAACAGGACTTTTACACAAGAAAAGGACATTGCCGAATTATTCAATAACTTCTTTCTAAACATTGGGCCAACTTTAGCAAAGGAAATCAAAACTGATCATATAGACCCTTTGTAATATATAGAATCTACGCCATCAAACAGTTTTTACCTTGCTCCAGTAACCCAAACACAAGTATTTACATTATTTGCTGGGCTAAAAGAAAACAAAGCATCCCTTATTGTTCCTAAAAAGCTTATTAAAATTGCAACTAAACAGCTCTCTGCACCCTTTACTGAAATATATAATGAATCAATATTATCAGAGGAGGTTCCTGAAATCTTTAAGATATCAAAAGTAACCCCAATATTTAAAAGTGATAGTCTATCTGAGTTAGGAAACTACAGGCCAATAGCAGTTATTTCTCCCCTTAGTAAAGTACTGGAAAGACAAGTATATGACCAACTGGTGTCCTATCTGGAAAAAGAATGTCTACTTTTTAACTTCCAATTTGGCTTTAGAAAGGGATATTCCACTGAATATGTCATTCTAGAAACTGTGGAAAAATTGAAGTCATCAGTTGATGATCAAAAAATAACATGTGGTATCTTTTTAGACTTTTCCAAGGCCTTTGATGCAATTAACCACCATATTCTCTTAGAAAAATTATAGGTATGGGATCCGAGGACTCCCCCATGCATGGTTTTCAAGCTATATATTTAATCGTAAGCAATATGTCAAAGTTGGTAACACAGAATCTAGCCTGAAAACCATCACATGGTGTACCTCAAGGCTCCACACTAGGTCGACTGTGGTTTCTATTGTATATTAACGACTTGCCAAGGTCTTCGAAGAAATTTACTTTTAGGATGTTTGCAGATGATACAAATATGTTTTATTCTTCAAAAGACCCTGAGTAATTACAATCAGTAATCAATAAGGAACTTGGAAAGGTCGTAAAATTCTGTGCAGCAAATATGCTGCCAACTCGAAAGTTTGGCTCCTTTGGCTGCTACACACTCTTTTCCTTTGTTATGTTTAATTCAATGTATAGTTAGCTCTGTTTTTTACTTCTTTTTTTTCTTATTGTTGTTGTATTGTAATTGAATAAGTGTGAATAAATGAACTTGAACTTGAACTAGATGATAATGAAGATGTTCTCTCTGTAAGGGTTGTATATCCCCAGGGTGTGTCTATCAACTGTAACTGTTCTCTGTCTCTGACTATGTGCTTCTCTCTGCCTCTTCCTTCATTCTTTCTTTGTAACTTTCTATTTCACTCTGTCACTCAATGTCTTTTCACTCTAACACATTC